CAGATTTGTTAGCAAGAGCAAAGAGCTGGAAACAACCCAGGTGCCCATCAACATACGAATGGATAGAGAAGCTGTATCATATTCACACAATGGAATACTATGCAGCACTACAAAACAAGGAACTAATGAAATATTATGCAAAGTGTATGACCCTAGACATTATGCTGAGTAGAGTATCTCAGTCACAAAAATATAAATATTGCCTAGTGCCCCTATTGTAAAACAGGACCTGCATCGGGGTTGAGAGAAGACTGAAAAAGAGGGGGAAAATAATGTATACTTCATTGAAACATGAGGGATGAGAACTATTATTATTACTATTTATTATTGTCATGACAGGAGTCCAGAATGAATGCTGCACAGTGGACTGGACTTGGGGTGGAAAAGGATTGCATAACAATGAAAGAGTTTTTTATTTTTCAAGGAAAAGAGTGAATGGGGGGAGGGAGTGGGCAGGGAGAAAAGTGTAACAATGAATGATTAGAAACCCTAAGTCTCTAAACTTTTATTAAAATTAACAAATATATATATTATAAATAAATTATCTGTGCTGCAAATCCAAAGTCACGGGACTCAAATCCACTAGCTGCTCTGCAGGACGGACAACCTCCTCCCCTGCAATTTACTGCTTCTGAAAACCTGGTAAAGGGTCACCTATGGGTTGGTTCCAGTTCAATTGCAAACAACATAATGCAGGCTAAGGAGTTCTGGTGGTGTAGTGAGTAACATGACTGCTAATGGAAAGGCTTTGAGTTTAATCTGCAAGCTCCATGGGGAAAAGATGGGCAATCTCCTCTGATTAAGAGGTTGCCTTCACAACCTCATGGAGGGCGATTATGAATCAGAATGGAGTAAGTAGAAGTCAGAATTATCACCAGAAACCCCTCCTCAATGATATGGTACTACAGAAAGTTATCTACTGTAACTTTCCCTGCAAAGGTAGAAAAACTAATGACAGACCTTCCTCCTGTTAATGCAAAAGCAGTATATTTTCTCTTTCACTGCTGTTGAGAAGGAACTGACTCTTGGCTGAGCCGCCATCAGGTTTTTGGAGGCTGTAAATCACATGGGAGATTGCCCATCTTCCTCTCATGGAGTTGCTGGTTGCTCTGAACGGCTGAAGAGGTGCTGCCTTCGCCTAGCAGCGCAAACTCCCTCAGACTGCACTAGGAGAGCTCCCTATTACATTGTCAAAGTGATAAATTAGGAGCCCTGAGTTCTCATCACCTACATTTTTATTTGCTTTTTCCTAACTATGGTGGGCAGAACTCCCTACACCTTCAACCTACCAATAAGGCGTTCCACAAGATAATTTTGTGATATAGATTTCACAAGTGACTCGGCAAGCACTAGCAATGTCACCATCTGGTTGTGTTCAGGGTGTGGAATCAACCAGAGTTGTGCATGGAATAAAGTCATTCCTTAACTCACACTACTAAACACCTATCAGTGGACACCGGAATGTATATATTCTTTTGTTTTGTAATTAGCAAAGTAAAAAGCCAGCATAATTTCAGAAGAATGCAAAAGATCATTACAAAGGCTGAAAAAGGAGAAAAGACCAAGATGGATGTCAGATGAGACTCTGAATATTGCATTAGAGCGCTGAGAAGCCAAAGCTAAAGGAAGAAACCAAGAAATTAAAGAGCTAAACAGAAAATTTCAAAAGGCAGCCTGTGATGACAAAGCAAAATACTTAATGTGCAGAGAGCTGGAGTCAGAAAATCAAAAGGGCCGAACTCGCTCAGCGTTTTTTAAGCTGAAGGAGCTGAAAAACAAATACAAGCCAAGGGTGGCAATACTTAGGGATGCTTTGGGTAGAATGCTAAATGATCCAGGAAGTATCAAGAGAAGATGGAAGGAATACACAGAGTCACTGTATCAGAAGGAATTGGCTGACACAGAAGAACTTCATGAAATAGCATATGAGAAGAGCCTATGGTGATGAAGGAGGAAGTTAAAATTGCTCTGAAGGAAATGGCAAAAAACAAGGCTCCAGGAGTTGACAGCATACCAACTGACATATTTCAACAGACAGACACTGCCCTGGATGTGCTAAGTTGTGCCAAGAAGTCTGGAGAAGAGCCAGCTGGCCCACTGACTGGAAAAGATCGATATTTGTTCCCATTCCAAAGAAAGGTGACTCAACAGAGTGCGGAAATTATCAAACAATATCATTAATATCACATGCAAGCAAGATTCTGCTGAAAATTATCCGAAAATGTTTGGAACAACATGTCAACAGAGAACTGTCAGATGTGCAGGCTGGATTTAGAAGAGGTCATGGTACTAGGGATATTATAGCTAATGTTAGATGGATCTTGGCAGAAAGAAAAGAATACCAGAAGAATGTCTGTCTGTGCTTCATTGACTATGCAAAAGCTTTTGACAGTGTGGATCACAACAAGCTATGGCTGTGTCTGAGAATGGGAATCCCAGAACATCTGATTGTGCTAATGCAAAACCTATACTTGGAGCAAGAGACAGTCGTCAGAACAGAGCAAGGAGACACTACATGGTTCAAAATCAAGAAGCTGGGCCCATCAGGGATGTATTCTGTCTCCATACCTTTTCAATCTGTATGCAGATTATCCAAGACACTGGGCTGTACAAAAAGGAATGTGGTATCAGGATTGGTGGAAGAGTCATCAACAACTGCGATATGCAGATGACACAACCCTGCTTGCTGAAACTGAGGAGGACCTGAAGTGCTTGCTGCAGGTCAAGGACTGCAGCCTCCTATATGGATTGAAGCTCAACATCAAGAAAACAAAGATTCTCACCACTGGGCCAATTGGCAGCATCAGTATGGATGGTGAAGAGATTGAGACAGTTAACAGTTTTAGTTTACTTGGTTCCACAGTCAACACTCTTGGTAACAGCAGGCAGGAAATCAAGAGACGAATTGCATTGGGAAAGTCAGCTGTGAGGGACCTCTCAAGAGTACTGAAGAGCAAAGACGTCAGGCTGGAGACTAAGGTGCACCTGATCTGGGCTATAGACTTCGCAATTACGTCTATGCATCAGAGAGTTGGACAGTGAATAGGCCTGATTGAGAGGATTGATGCCTTTGAGCTGTGGTGCTGGAGAGGAGTGCTGAATATACCATGGACTGCTAGGGGAACAAAAAGGTTTGTCCTAGAGAAAGTGAAGCTGGAATGCTCGTTGGAGTCAAGGATTCTGAAGCTTCATCTGACATACTTTGGGCATGTTGCAAGGAGGGAGAGGGACATCACGTTTGGCAGAGTGGATGGGCGGTGAAGGAGAGGAAGACCTTCAATGAGATGGATCGATTCTGTGACTGGAGCAATGGAAATAAGTCTGTTTGAGATGGCTAGGTTGGCACAGGATAGAACAACGTTTAGAGCTCTTGTACATAGGATTGCTATGAGTTGCAGACGACTTGATGGCACATAACAACAACAAACAACATATTAATCAATGGAGATACATATCATCCATACCAAGAACAGGAAGCTCTGGTAGATGAGTCTGTAGGAAGTGGCACTGTTGACGCAGAGGTTATGCCTCTGCTGGTTTGAATCCACCAGCTCCTCTGCGGAGGTGAAAAATCTCCTTCCTTGTGATCCGCAGCCTTGAAAAAGCTGTCAGCAGGTCAACTAACACAGTCTGGACTTGACAGCAGTGAGTGGAACTAAGAACCATGTCAGTCAAATGCTTTCTGTATGTGAAAGGACGAACTTGAACAAGTGAAGTTCTTCAGGTTTTTATCTATCCTATTTCTGTATTTTAATTTGTATCTTCAGACTCAGCCTTTAATGGGTGCTAGCTTAGGTACAAGTCAGTGGAAAACTCAGCATGGTCACACAATGCATTATAAACCAAAGAGCTTGATTTTAGATCAATTCTTTTTCCTCTCTACTTGATAACAACAGTAGCTCTACTTAAAGAAAACACTCTCAAATCTACTTAAAGAAAACACTCTCAAATTTTAAAAGTGTCAAGTTTCATTAGAAAAAAACGTACAAAAATGTATTTATCAAGAATACTATTTGATTCAGCAAATTCATTGAAAATATGAGTTACAGTATATAAAGAGAAATAATAGCATGAAGTCTTAAAAACCAAGTCCTTAAACAAACAACACACATGTTTCTAATAAAGGCAATAGCAATTCCATTTTCCAAGCTGTATTAAGTTGATGGTTTTCTGTAATTGGTTTTACTTTAAGTTTTCTGCTTATCAGGTTTAAAGATATGTCATTTCTTCACTGAGTACTTTATTTCTCAAAATGTTTAAAGCAAGTACCAGATAACCAGGTGTCTTTGCTGTCGCTGTTATTTTTATTTTGCTAAGGAATAGGAAACAGCTTCAAAGGTCAATCCAAGTTCAAGTCTGCATCCAAGTCCTAGCACTGGATATTTGTCCTTGTTTACTTCTTAGGAAGCATAATTTGGAGACATCTGTGGATTTACAACTGATGATACTTTTTCTTTTCCTTTTTAAAGTACACAGAACAATTATATATGAATTTTTAAGAGTAAAAAGAAAAGAATTCTACTTCTCTTTATTGTTTCATCAAGAAAATGTTACAGCCCTGGCAGAAGCTTTCCATCTGCCCCAACTCCATTCTCTCAAGCTTCAGTAAGACTCCCTCTGCACTGTGACATCATTGGTAGGATGACATTCTTGTACCTTCCGTGGCACCAATAATGTGCCATAGATAGGACCTTTTCACTGTTTAGGTCAACTTTTTCTAAAAAAACAAGGGCCTCTGTAATTAGTAGAAACAAACTTAGTCTTCAATGATGAAGGCATTTGTGTTCCGTTCTGTTCAATTACATGTACATGATAAAGGGCAGGAAAAATAAGACGATCTGTGTGACAGTTTCAAGGACGGTTGGCTAAGACATCCCTGGAGCTTAGAGAAACTAAAGGCAAAGGGCATACTGGAACTGAGTTCTAAATTCCAACTGAATTTTCAATTGAAATTTAAAATACAATAGAAAAGAGAAAAGGGCATTAGCAGGACCCAGAAATTATCGAGGTGGAAAGCCACCTCTATGTGCTCCTCCACGGCCTCCTCTAAATCCACCCCTTTCTCCTCGAAAGTTAGATCGATTTCTTTCTCGTCCACGACCAGCAGAAGTTCCACCTCTTCCACCACCCCTGGGAGCTCCACCTCCCCGATCAGATTTAGATTTGGGAGGAGGTGATTTTGGTCGAAGTCTCTCAATTTCTTCTGTACATCCAGTCAAGTAGGAATTAGGGGCACTGAAGTAGGATGCATATGTTTCTGCATTGTAGTTGCTATTTGTAAGAGTTGGTCCAACCGTAAGCCAGCCTGAAAGGAAAGAAAACAGATTATCCATTTAATCATGTTCAAATTTATTTTATCTACACACACTCTCTCTCACACACACAGAAAGAGAGAGACAGAGAGAGAGAGAAAGAGAGAACAAACAAACGAACCCTGGTGCTGTAATCTGTTGGAAGCTCAACAGTTAAACCACAGGCGAAGAACATACCTCTTGTAGTTCAAATCTACCAGCAGCCAGGAGAGAAAACAGATGGACAGTCTCTGCCAGTGCAATTTAGCACCTTGGAAATCCAATGGAGGGTCAGCTATAGTTCCAACTTAATAGCAATGACATAAATACACACACACACACACAAATAAGATAATACATGAACCCACAAATAAGATAATATATGAACCAGATAAATCATACTGTACCTTTCTTTTATACAGCATCTACTAACCTTGGTAAGGAGAAAAGATTAATGAGGACATTCTATACCTACATGGCTGAGACTATTGAATCCATTAGATTTTAATTTGTTGTTGTTGTGTGTTGTTAGGTGCCGTCGAGTTGTAGACAACTCATAGCAACCCTATGAATGAAAGGCCTGAGCACTGTTCATAAAAACTGGACTGATCAGGTATACTGAATTGAAACAGATGAGGGAGAGAACAGTTTAAAAGTGATATACGGAATCCAGAATTAAGGTTGCATAGTGGAGTGCATTTGGGGCCAGGGGGCGAGGGGACTGTATACCAACGAAGACGTTGATCTTTTCTTTTCAAAGAGAGGAGCAAAATGGGGGTGGAGGTAGAGAAAAAAAGTGCAACAATGAATGGAAATCCAAAATCTCTGTAAATGTTCATTACAATTAGTAAAATAAAAAAAAAAAAGTTTCCAGAGGCAAGCCATTTCGGAAGTGGATTCCACCCTGGCTTTCAAGCTTGTACTCCTTTCTAATTTGTTCTGGTTTTGTTTTTTGATCTTTGTAGTGTTTGAGAACACAATATACAAACAAAGGTTAAAAAGAAATTAAATGATTAGTGAAAACAGCTAATAGTGACTCCTACACGCCATACTGTTCCTTACATAAATATTTGTATCTTCAAGATGAAAATTAATTATAGACATCTAGGGGACCATTTACTCTCAAATTCTTACTGTTGTTGTTAAGTGCTGCGGAGTCAAGTACGACTCATAGTGACCCTATGAACAAAAGACCTGGACCCTGTTCTATAACTATCATGGTTTCTCTATGTTCATAGAGTTCCCAGAGGCATGTGATTAAGGAAGTGGATGCCACTCCTGCTTCCAAGCCTGTCTCAATCTGGAGCTTCACCAAATTCTGTTCACCATGGGTAATAATTATGGCATTTGATATACCAGTGGCACAGTGTTTAGCATTACAGTAATCCCAAGTAACTTCAGTACAGCAAATGACTGAACAGTGCTGTACCACTTAGAAGAATGTTCAACCCAAACATAATTAACACACCAAGCACACACACCCTCACCCCCCTACCCTCGACTCAAATGACTTTTAAATACAAAGGCGTGCCAACCAGGTCCTTGTGACTCTAAACAAGAGGCTTCCAGCCCACAGCTCATCATTAGCTAAATCCAACAAATCCAATCAGCTCATACAGGATGTGTTATGTGTGGTGGAGAACAAACAGTCTACACCTGAACCTCAACCATTTTCCAGAATTTAACTGCTTCACACAAAGTCTTTTATTATAACCTTTTAAAGATACTACTAATGACAGCATCAATTCTCCTGTCCTCCCTGGTCATTGTTCAGCTCTCTGATGCATAACAAGTGATTGCAAAGACCATGGCCTGAAGGAAAACTGATGCTTTTGAGCTTTGTTGTTGGAGAAGAGTGCTGAGGGTACCATGGACTGCTAAGAAAACAAACAGATTCATCCTGGGGAGGGTTAAACCTGGCTGCTCCTTGGAGGCAAGGATTCTGAGGCTTTGCCTGACATACTCTGGTCATGTTGTAAGGAGAGACCGATTCTTGGAGAAGGTCATCATGCTTACGAGGGCGGAGGGCAGGTGCAGGAGGGGAAGGCCCTCTGAGAGATGGATTGATTCGGTGACTGGAGCAATCGGGATGAGTGTGTCGGAGACAATGATATTGGCACAGGACAGAGCAGAGTTTTGAGCTGTTGTACATAGGGTCGCTATGAGTTGCAAGTGACTCAAAGCCACATAACAACAATAACTAATGACAGAGTAAAAACAGCTTACCTACAGACTATAATAAACCCCCTCATCTATTTTTAAAACTTTCAAAGCAATGATAACTACTCCTAAAGTATATGTGATATATTGTTGTTGTTCTGTTCCACTGAGTCAGAACCAACATGAGGGTAGATTATTCATCCTTCTCCCTCAGAGTAACTGGTGGATTCAAATCCTGTGCCTTTTAGGAATGCACCATAGCTTCCTACAACCAGGCCACCAGAGCTCCATATATGTGATAAAGGGTATCCTCTGATTTTTCCAAATCAATTATGAATGCGCTCCTTAAAATTTAAACCATAAAGGTGTCAGTTTGAATACTATGCCAAGGTCAGACTATTGGATTATCAGACTCAAGCCATGGTCTTTTCAATTACTATCTATACATGTGAAAGCTGGACAGGAGAAATGGAAGGCAGAAAAATGATGCATTCAAACAGCAGTGTTGGGAAAGAATACTGGATAAACTAATAATGAACGCTATTTGAAGGATATTGAAAAACAAATAAATTCATCTTGGAAAAAATACAATCAGAATGTGTCTCAGAAATGAAGATAGTAAAGACTTCAATTCACTTGGTTTAGAACTATTACCAGGAAAAAATTCACTAAAAATGGCAATCATGTTTGCTAAAGTGGAGCAGCCAATGAAAATGAGGGAAACTCTCATTGGGATGGACTGTCACAATCGTCAATACAATGTACGCAAACATACAACAGCCATTAATACGACACAGGAATGAACAAAAGTTTGTCCTATATAACTGTTGAAACACATAATTTTACTATGAGCGAGAGCTGATTCAATAGCAACTAACAACATCTGGGATATATGTAAAAAAGGGCATCTTTAAAGAACTCCAATTAAGAACTCAATGCAAAGGCTTCTTGAGTAGACATCTCTCTATTACACCATTATATATGTGGTTAATTCTCAAAGAATGTTATAGTTTCCTTAAACAGATTTTTCTCTCTCCAAATTATGTTTATTGTCCCTAATAATTTTTGAAGGACAGGCAATAATAAATAACCAGATGATTGTTTCTGAGGAAAAAAAAATAAAATTTGTACTTTTAAGACTCATTCAACTGTGTAGATACAGATAGAAGGATATTGTGTATGAAAAGTATGATGTATAACTTAAAATGGTTAAAGGTGGTCAGACCTAAATGGATGAAAAGCTTAATTAAAAATTAAATTTTAATTATCACTTAAAACTGCTCACTTACACTCAACTGCTGTCAAGTAGAACTGACTCAGAGCTGACCCTCCAGTGTGTTTTGGAGTCTATAAATCGCATGGGAGGAAGGAAAATCATTCATCCTTTCGAGGAGCCATTAATGGCCTTGAACTGCCTGAGAACCACCTCCTGGAGGTTAGCAGTAGATCTCCCTATGGACTGTGGCACCATGTAATTTCCTAGGTTACTTCTTATACCCCTCTATAAGTAACCTGACAATTATCTACACTCTCAATTGCTTACATTCTTTATATATATATATATTTTTTTAAATAATTTTAATGAATATTTACAGAGAATTTGGATTTCCATTCATTCATTGCTGTACTTCTCTACCCGCCCAGTCCTCTCCTCCCCACCCCCCAGTTCACTCCTCTCTTTCAAAAGTAAAAGAAAGACTCCTTCCCTGGTACACAATTCCCCTGCACCCCTCCCACTGCCCCAAGTACATTCCACTATGCAACCTTAATTGTGGACTCTTGGACATTCTTTATATATTTTTAAAGCCATGAGGTCATTAAAAATACCATGAATAATTATTTAAAATTTTTAAAAATACTTGATATATTTGAAGCCAAAGTATCTAACAGGAACTATTATGTAAAAAGTTGTATGCACAGCAACCTGAAAGTACTATGTAAAAATGGAAATGAATTCTTAGTGGTAGTGAAATGATGAATCCTCCTACCTCCTTCAAAAATGTTTAACACTGGTACAATAACTTTTCAATTAACAACAGCTTAGTATCTGTTTCATGTTTGTTTTTACTCTTGACATGTTGTTGCTGACGTTGTTATGTGCCATCGAGTCACCTGCAACTCATAGTGACCCATGTACAACAGGCCTAAACCCTGCTCTATCCTGTACCAATCTCACTGTCTCCAACACACTTACCCCCATTACCCCAGTCACTGAATCAATCCACTTCATAGAGAGCCTTCCTCTCCTACATTGTCCCTCCTTGCAACATATCCAAAGTATGTTGGACGAAGCCTCAGAATCCTTGCCTCCAAGCAGCAGCCTGGTTTAACCCTCTCCAGGATGAACCTGTTCATTTTCTTAGCAGTCCATGGTATATTCAATACTCTTCTCTAACACCACAGCTCAAAGGCATCAATTCTCCTTCTATCATCCCTAGTTACTGTCCAACTCTCTGAAGCATTACAATGGATTGCAAAGATCATGGCCTGTATCAGGTGCATCTGAGTCTCCAGAGTAATGCCACTGCTCTTCAGTACTTTGGAGAGGTCCCTAACAGCAGACTTTCCCATTGCAGTAAGTCTTTTAATTTCCTGGCTGCTGGTGCCAAGAGTGTTGAGTGTGGAGCCAAGCAAACTAAAGCTGTGAACAATCTCAATCTCTTCACCATCCATCCTGATGCTGCCAATTGGCCCTGTGGTAAGAATCTCTGTCTTCTTTATATTGAGCCTCAATCCATATTGAAGGCTGCAGTCTCTTAATATAGTTTTAGTTTTATTATTTTTTTTCTTTAACTTTTCTGCTTCCTTAAAACAGCACTTGACATTAGAGATTGTTCCCAGACTCAGCAACTATTTTGGGGCAGGACAGGTTAATGATAGAAGAGAAAAATCTGTTCTGTATTTACTTTAACAACAGAGCCAAAATCTTAATAGTCGATATATATGGACAGCTATGCTTCCTGAGCAAACACATTCCTCCAATTGAGTACTTAAAGATGCTACTTTTCTTTTAAGCCTGTGAAGAGGAACATTTGTTTGTCACAAGCTCTACTGTCAAAATACTTCATTATGATGACAGAATGAAATCATCCATATGAATTTCTAAACAAACTGTGCATTTGTAAAGGAAACCTAAACAATGTAAAGCTTATTTTATAGTTATATATACAATCTACATATAACACAACACATTACTTGAATTATATGAACACTAAGAAAAATTAGTTTGAAAAAATAAGGAAGTACAAAGTCAAATAACAGTATTCCTACTTTTCAAAACCAATATACTATTTTAAATTAAATTTTAAGAACTCAAGAGTACATGCCGCTACAACTTCTAGAATAACCTTTAAATAAGCAATAAGAATATTTAACTAACAAGCTAAAAGAAAAGGAAAATGAATTAAAAACTACTTAATCAAGAACACTCAAATGAAAGGCAAAGGCACTGATTTAAACAATAGAATGTAATTTGTATCAAAGTATTTCATGACTATAACAAATCTAGGGTCCAATTAGAAGATAAAGATCATCAAACTCAATGAAATAGCAATCACTTATTCACTGGGACATATCTTATACAGGAATGTAAAAAAATTTTAAATAAAATTTATTTTACCCAGCACTCAGTCCTATTTTATAACACCCAGACAGATTCCAAGAAACCACAAAGAATTTTTTTCTTTTTTAAAGTGATATCCTACCTGGTCGAATTGTACTATCTCTTCCAAAAAGATGAAGCCGTCTTCTACCAAGACAAAAATGTTCAATTATATGAAAAATTTCCACAGGTTTTTCTATATTACCAATTTCAGGTTCTTCTGTGATGATCAAGTCAATATCAACATTAGCATGAATAAAGTCTCCATCTGTGCTACGCTTAACAGTTCCTTTGATCCCCATTAGGCAATGTTCCTAAATAACAATGACAGAAGAGCAATTTAATATAGTGTTTTTCATTTTTTTTTAACCAACAGTTATATTTCATTACATTTTACATTTATGATGTCCTCAATTCCAAAATAAGAATTATTTTTATGAATCTTTGGGTTTACAGTTCTACGGGTAAGAAGAGATGTGGTAGACCATTAGAGAACCTAAAAATAAGAGAAATAAAATTGAACTGTCAGATTTCAAGACCAAGTTAGGTGACTTTTGCAGCAAAACTAATTAAATGATTATATGTGTTAAAGAAAGTCTGAAAAGAAAAAAGGACAGTACCTTTGTTCTCTGGAACACAGCCTTTGGGTCTAAAGTTTTAGTCTTCCCAGGGTTGTTTTTATTGGTTTTAATCCAACATATATCTTCACATCTTCTGTATCCCCACTTGCGTAAACACTAAAAATAAAAAAAAATTCTTAAGGAAAAAGACTTACAATAATTAACTGACATTACAAAACTATTTAGAAGTTTGAGACACTAAATTCCAAAGTAGCCAAGTGTTTTTTAGTGCAGAAACAGAAAAGAGGAAATGCCAATCTTGAAATAAACAGACTACAAAGAATAATATATATCTTTCTGGATATTAATATAACTAGGTAAGCATGAAAACACAGAAAAGAGTACATAATGCTCTAATTTAATATTTAATATCTAATTCATTTTTATCAACAGAAGTTGAATTTTCATGTTTCCAATTACTTTAACAGTTTGAGATCAGGGATATCACAGATCAGGTATGAACATATCATGTCATAAACCTTATCCATTTAAAGAACACAGTTCAATAGATTCTAGGATATTAAGAGTTGTGTATTTATCACCACAATTAATTTTAGAACATTTCTTCTGCCCTAAAAAGAAATCCTACACCCCCTGGGATCCATCACCAATCCTGCCACAGACAAGTATTAATCTACATTCTGACTTTTTCAATTTGCTTACTCTGTACATTTCCGATAAACAGGATTACATATTGTCATTGTGATTAGGTTTTCAAAGTAAGAAAACACATAGCTCCTCTGTAGTCATAACATAATCCAAAAGTTAATTTGACTTTTTAATTTTATTGCCTCTGATGAAGCTAAACACTATTAAAACATTTCAAAGTTTTCTTCAAAAGATAGAAATGGTATCACTTGCTTACTCATTCTTGCAGCATCAGAACTTAAAGTTGACCCTCCAGAGACTTTTCAGAGGCTATCCACCACACAGGACTACACTACACTGCTCATTCTTCTCCCACAGAGCAAAGCAGATGGTGAACATACACTGACAGATTAGCAGCCTAATTCTCTACACACTGGGCCACCAAAACACTCTAAAAAAATTATATAATCTTATAAAATTTGATTTTCATATCAATTGTTTTTGGTCAAAACATTCTTCTAGGTCGTATAGCCCTGGTCTGTTCACTTGCTGTACACAGGTAACTTGTGGTTGCTGTAAAGCTGAACACTGTGACACAGATGTGTCAAATGCGAGAATGGCTACCCATTTGTGGACAGTGTTTGGTGGAGCTCCCCATTTAAAACAAGCTTGGAAGTAGGAATGGCTTCCACTTCCAAAATAGCTTGCCTCCAGAAACCCTAAGCACCTGGAAAAAGGATGAAAATTATACAAGTGTCCAGGCCTTTCATTCATAGGGTTGCTATAAGTTGCCTACAACTTGATGGCACTTAACAACAATAAACATTAATAACATGAAAAAATTAAAAGACTAATAGAGGTATTTTATGGGATAAAACCTTTATATAACTTTGAAAATAGGTTTTTATATCACAGTGTTTGAGAATCTTTATACATAAACAGTGACATTTACTGGAATAACACACTATTCTCTTCAAAATGGCATTTTCCAGGACTTGTCACTAGTAAAAGGGAGTAAAATGATAACTAAAACATTATCCTCAATTTGAGTATAAAGTAGAAATAAGGAAACTGTGTAGAATGATATTGGTAATACTATGTTCAAATATGTTTAATGTAAAAAAGACATAAAAATCACCCAAAAAGCAAGACCCAAGAAAAAGAAAAAAGACCTATTATCAATGGCATATAGTCAATACTGACTCATAGTGACCCAAAAGGACAAAGCAGAACTGCCCACAATAATAATTTACAAACAATTTAAATTATACTCATTTAAAGGTAATTTGTCATAATAATAAAATAAGTTTACAAAAATATAAGAATAATTTAATATTTTTCATGCTGCACAATTGTTTTTGTTTTTTAGGGTTTTTTACCAATATGCTAAATTAATTACATAAACAAATAAATTAAAAAAAGAATCAATCATGGAAAACCTAACTGTAGACAAGGATGAGGGTTGGAGAGCAAAAGATAGATATTAGAACTAAAAAAGGCAAATAGGAACATACACATAAATATGTATGAACTTTTCCACAGCTCCCTGTGAAGCTGACACTACAAGATATCACTGGAGTACATATAGCAGGCATATTAATTCTCACCTCTGAGCTAATAAGTGAGAGAGGCAATGTTTTTAGCAAATTGTCTCTAATTCATTATTTATACTTGACAATTTCATGCTCTGACCACAAATTTTATTTCAATATAATCCTACTTAAATGTCTTACCTCTCAAAGGGACACGAGTAATCAAATTAGCAAGATTTAATGAAGTTATTTGTTACATAACAAATAACAGGGTTTAAATATGTTAACTTAGCAGAGATGAGGAAATGGACCCATAACAGGCAGGAGGACACTTATGCCCAAAATCTCACTTTCAGAAACAAAACTGAAAACTAATGACATTTAACCACAACAATTAGACAAAACCATGTACTTTCTTTCGTATCCATTTAGAAACCTGAAATACTTTAGTTTAAAAAAAACACCAAAGTTATGGAAAGTACACATAAGGTACTTAAACCAGTCATTCAAAATACCTTGTGCTGCAGATGCTGTGTTACTTTTGCAATCTGATATGGCTCCCATTTAGAATTCATGCGTCTATCCCATTCAGAACATCTTTTAGCTAATTCACAATGGCTACTAAATAAGGCTAAATAGCTCATTTCTGAACTTCAATTTAGACTCATATTTCTAAACAATATACGTCTTGAAGACATGGGGGAAAAAATTCTTTTGAAAGAACTGCTTTTATTCCTAGTGCTAGTTAACTAACTCAGGGGTCCTACCTTTCTCATAGTCTCTTCTGAACAGGCTCTTTCTCCCTAAATAGTTTATAACTATCTAAAACAAAAGACAAAATTATACTAATTTATAAACTTCTTCTGCAACATATGGTTATATGTATGTCTTATTAATTTCAAATTCACTTCATTTAAAAAAAAACCCAAAAACCAAAAAAAAACCCAACCAAACACCACCTTACCACTCTTCCAAGGTCCAATCCTTCTCCAGAACCACACCATAGAAAAATAAAAGAACGAGGTGCTGCAATCTCATCAATTTCTAACTTCATAATCTAGAAGAAATAAGAGCAATACTGCATAAAAACTCATATCCCATTGATCCTAAGTCAAAAAGAAAAGTCATTATATATGATCAGGAATTTCGGTATATGTGTTCTTTAAGCATGCTCATTTAAATGAATAAAATAAACAGGAAATAACTTTTATTCTTAAAATTTGATTCTAGTACAAAGAACATGACAAGCATGCATGTATACCCAAACACACATCCATGCACAGGTGCTCTAATATGGAAGGAGTTTAAAGGAAACATCTGTTATATTATGGAATTTTATATGATAGAGCTTAAGAGATATTCTGACATAATTTACCATTTACTTTAAAAAAAACTGAGATGGCAAGAATAAGGTGAAATTAGCCCAAATCTACAACCGTATACAACACAACAAGAAGATTTAGTTCTAGAGAAAATAAATCAATACACACATTTTATTAAAATAACTCTGGGAGTGTCAAGTACAAAAAAATTGTAATTTTGTGTCTTGTATGTGTTATATTTTTTTTAAAAGTGCCTTCAGTAATGGTATTTCCAAATTTTGGGAATACCATCTTCAACGAATTGCTCCAGAAGCAGTCATTTTAAATGACACTTAGTCGTTTTACTTCAGTTTCTTTAAAAGTTAATAAGTTTCAAAGATCATAAATTAAATATAAGAATTAATTCATTTTATGAATTTAAAAACTTTACCTTGTATATTAATAGTAGATTCATGAAAGTTATAACCATATTATTTCTACTATATGCAGGTAGAAACGAAGAATTTGATAGCAATAATGAAAACAGTTTATATCCTTTTTACACTTACCATCTGGTAAGTCTTGAGATTTCTCTCATTAAATGGTTTCACAGTACAGTAACACCACAAAAATATGAATATGTGTATATATTCCTGCATATATTTATATGTATAAGAAAATTATTTTCTCTCTAATGATATCACTTAATTTTTTAGACTGGAAGCAGGAGTGGCATCTACTTCTTAAACAGCATGCCTTTGGAAATTCTATGAACTTTGATAAATGTCAATAGTTATAGAAAGGCTTCAGGCCTTTTGTTCATAGGGTCGTTATGAGTCTTGCTTGACTTGATGGCAATCAACCACGATACCGTAATTACAAACGTTAAATATGTGTTCATTTACAATGGTAAAATTATATTTTAAATTTTCTCTAATAAAAGCTGCCATGTTTTGAAAGAGACCCCAGTAGTGGGAACTAGACAGACTAGCAGAAAAATCTTAATTTAAATGTTAGTATTTTATATTTTAAATCTGTACTTAAATCTTGAACCAAAACACAAGAAGCACGACTATTGACTACCTGGAAAAGATTTCCAACTGGCTCTTTGTTTATGCATAGTATCAGATAAAGGAGCCCTGGTGGTGCAGTGATTAAGCTATTACCTACTAAACACAAGGTCAGTCACCTGGAACCCAGGGCCACTTCACTCCTTGGCATAGAGACCTTTATGGTCTTGCACAGATTACAGCTAGGGAAATCCTTTGGGGCAGTTCTACTGTAATATAGGGTTACTGTAACTCAGGATGAACTCAATGACATAAATCATCATACAAGCATAAAGGATCTAAGAACTTATGTCAGAAAAATACCCTTTTAAACATACTAACCAGAGCTTAAATTCAATGATATTAGCCTAAAGTCAAAGATTTGCCTATAAAATGGAAATTCCTTTATTATCAAATATCCTTTTAGCTTGTCACAGATATAAAGGAAGTCCTTGTGCTTTTACTGACCAAATTCACAGACAGACTAGCTAGAGGAAATACTATTCAACTTAATTATTAATGAAAGACATAAAGAAATTCCTTTTTTAAATTTTTTTTTCTCTGATCAAACTGACAAAAGCTGCTTTTTAAAATTAACACTCAATTATAAAGAGGAGCTGGTAAAACTGACATTGTTTAATCAAACACTCCTGAAGGAAATGCATGTACTTTAACACAATTTATATCCTTTTGAAAAAAATACAAATTTGCACAATTTATCTAGAAAGCATCTTAGCAACAAATATGAAGATCATGAGGTCTTTAATTCCATAATCTGTACTTTTTAATTTCAATAAACAGATTACATTTATAATCACAATATGAGAAAAAATATTGTTAATAAAGGCCGTAAAAATTTGAAGGCAATAGAAAATGCTCCAATTAGAGGTCACTTTTGAAAATATAAATGCTAATTTATATTATAATTTTATTAAAAACATTAACTTTTTAAATATTAAAATGAATATAAAGGTTAACTATAAATAAACTAACTCAGAAAAGACATATTAAGATTCAAAGACGTTTCCTATGGAACATTAGTCTTACAGCTTCACTCCTTTGCTTTTTCTACCTTTTTCTCTGGTGCAGGACCAAATGATTTTCTTCTTAAAACACCTTATCGCCTGGCCTCCATGGCATTCTTAGCCTGCTGGTTCTCCTCATATTTCTCTGATCTATCCCTTTTCACATTGACTTTCTCTATCTTCTTTAGACACAAATGTTTTCTGAGGCTTTAACTGTGACACTATTCCACTCTTTCATTACTAAGGACTCAAAATACTAATCATTCCAAAAGACAAATCTGTCTGCCCTTTGAGCTTTATATTTCTATTAGCATCCTTCACTGAATGTCTTACATATACCTGACAATCAGCATGTTCAACATTTTTTTAATTATTCTTCCTTCCATTCTTATATTTAGGCTCTCAAGGATAACTCTATCTATTAATAACACGACAGAAACCTCTGGGGTATTCTTGATTTCTCTCCTTAACCCAATCACTCAATGTTAGAAAACCTAACTCCTAAACTTATTGAATTTAGCATCTTCTTTCATTTTCTAATAAACCTACTACCATCAAGTCAATTCTACTTATACTGATCTTATTTGACAATGCATAACTGCCCCATATGGTTTTCAAAGCTTTAATTTTTATAAAAGCAGTGTCACACCTTTCCAACTATCAACCTTTTAGTTCAAAGCTGAGTGCTTTTACTATTGCACCACTAGGGCCTTTTCTATTTCTTAATTCCATCACTTTAGATTGAGGGTGCTTTCATAACACATATAGGTTACTCTAACAGTCGTCTTCTGTTTTTTCTCCAGAGTCCCCTACCTCCAGTCTAGCCTCTACCAGGTAATTTGAGCAGGTTACTAAACTAGTAATAGCTCTTAAAAGACTCCTTAATACCTCCAGGTTGAAAATGCAAGCTCCTAAAAGGCATCTTCTTAAGAAGTCACCGTTTGTTCTGACAACTCTAACCTACAAATAGACTCTGCCCATTCACAAACCAGATACTGGCATTTGCCTCCATTCTTTCTATTCCTGTCATTTCCTCTACTGTGAAGGCCTTTCTAAAATCTTTTCTATGGGGCCAATTATAACTACTCTATTTATAGCATATTGATCACACATCTATTCTTAAAATTATGTGTTTACATATTCTTTTGATCCACTATACTCTATGCTCCTTGAAGAGTAGGGTATAGATAGATATATTACTAAAACCGATTATATGTAAAATGAGTTATCAAGAATTCTGCTCTTAGGCTTTTCTAGCAATCTACTAACTACTTGTTCAGTTTTTGCCTAAAATAATCAAATAATGTCACTATGTGTTAATGGACTTTGGACAATAGCAAAAGTACACATTATAAAGCAACATTTAGAATCCCTACTGAACATACACCCCACTCTCTGTCCGAAGGAGGAGTGGCAACCACTTCCATAATAGCTTGCCTCCGGAAACCCTATGAACCTGGAGAGAGGATGAAAGGCACCCAAGCGTCGAGGACTCTCCTTCCTAGGGTCGCTATGAGTCACCTGCGACTCGACGGCACTTAACAACAAACAGCAACTGAATATCCCACGGTCTGCCGAAAGAAATAAACGAGTATTTCTTGGAGAAGGTGCAGCCAGAGAGTTTGCATGTTGCTAGGAGAGGCTATTCCTTGGGAAAGGACATCATGCTTGGGAAGATGGAGGGATGGCAAAAGAAAGGAAGACCCTCAACCAGCCAGAGAGACACAGTGACTGCAGCAATGGACTCAAGTGGACAGATAAGGATGGCACAGGATAGGACAGGGTTCAGATCTGTTGTTCACAGGCTCGCAGAGTCATATTCAACTTGACAGCACTTAACAACAATGCCACCACTAATACAAAGTAGAGATGATGTTTATAATGTTATTTTCTAATTAAATAAATAAAAACAATCATTTAAAAAAATAAGCAATTCATCAAAAATGGAAAATTTTCTCATACATCATCCCAAGTCCAGCATTTTTCATTAGCAGTGATACCGGTTTCTCGGTAATACTCTTCTAAAGGTGGTTCCAGGAGAATCACATCAAACTTGGGTGTTAATTCTCTGATGTCAAAAGCTTCTATATCTGCTTGTAAATACCTATTTCATAGAAGTATAAAGTAATGAGTAAGAAATTTTCAAACAAAAATAACAGGCAACAATGAAACAAACTAATATATTACTAAAACCCACTAGATGGCCAGCTATGACTAGACTGAACATAACAACAACTTACTGAGTAATAATGAACTATTTATAAATGTCTTTGTATAGTGTGTTGTCTTTCTTTAGTACAGAACAGACTGTAAGCCAACTCTAGGGCAAAAATATTATTATTACAAAGTAAAATAATATTTCACCTATTCATCCAGAACATATTAGATGCTCATTTTTACACTAAGCTTTAAAATCTTCCCTCTATTCTTTTACTTTTCAAAGAGAAGAGTGAATTGGGGGAGGGGGTGGGCAGGGAGAAAAGTGCAATAATGAATGAATGGAAACCCTAAGTCTCTGTAAACTTTCATTAAAGTAAATAAATAAAAAAATTTTAAAAAAAAATCATCTTCCCTCTAAATTAGAAGTCCCTAAATAAAGATTTAATTTCATTCTGGAGAGGGTTAAACCAGGCTGTTCCTTGGAGGCAAGGATCCTGAGGCTTCATCCGACATACTTTGGACATGTTGTAAGGAGGAACCAGTCCTTGAAGAGGGACATCAAGCTTGGTAGGGTGGAGGGACAGCGCAGGTGGGGAAGACCCTTAATGAGATGGATTGATTCAGTGACTGGGGTAATCAGGATGAGTGTATTGGAGACAGTGTGACTGGCACAGGACAGAGCAGGGTTTAGGGCTGTTGTACAAACAGTCGCTATGAGTTGCAAGCGACTCGACGGCACATAACAACAACAACAACAGTTCATTCACTAGTAAAATTATTCATATTCATATTCTTAATCTTATATAAGTATTGAAAAGTTCCCTAAAAGTTACTAAATAAACAGACTGATACTTTAAGCTAATTTGGAAAAATAAATCAATTAAGACACTTACATAGGAGGGGTGTTAGATTTAGCTATTAACTCATCCTTCAACCTGATGAGCTCTCTTAGTTTAGGGTATTCTTCAAATCGGTCAGCTAAACCTGCAAAAAATAAAAAATTAATTAATGAATGGAAAAGAAATGAGCATTCTTAGGAAAATAAGGCATGTCATTTTAATCTTCTATTTTTAAAAAAGTTATTTTTGAGTACTTTAAAAGATTTCAGACAAACATTTCATACTTAATACTCCAACTAGAGGTAAAAACTCAGATACTCTAGACACGGTTAGAGTCACTAACCCATTCAATTTCTCATATTTATTAATTGTATATTTCCAGTTTTCTTAAATCAGTTTTTAACCATGCCATATAGCAGAAAAATAGGCTCTGAAAGCTTTATAAATAATTAATGAAGACTGAATCTATTTGAGAAGGCAGATGTAGTCCAATCATATTTTAAATGCCTTCTAACATGAAGAGGCAATTCTTATCCAATCATATTCTGAATTCCTTCCAACCTGAGTGGCTCATTTTTTAGCACTGTATCAGACAATGTTCTACCTCTATTTCTAAAGTTTTCAACTGTTGTTTGGGGTTTTCCTCCCCCAAATATATGACAGAACATTCTTCCTAAAATGCATAGGAACAGTTGAATATAACCTTTAATACTTAAAACGTAGAAAGTATAAAGTATGAATCTAGGAAAATTTGAATCAATATTTAGATTTTGAAAGACCTCACATATCCTCATCATTCTAAATGGTCAATGCATTTTCAGATTGAAGACCTGGAGAGAAACTTCAAGTCTCACAATAGTACTACAAACAGGAGATTCATTTTCCTCCTGACCTAAAAAAACACTAATTACATCTCTGAATCTCAGAAAACATTTTATGTAAAACAGAATTGCCAGCTTAAACAACCATCATGGCAGGAATATCAACAATTTAAAAGTTCTGCCCCAAGAAAAGTATATTCATACATATAAAAGTAATGTAAGTTCATTAATTTAAAAATTAAGGTATAAACAGTAATCACTTTAATTCAAAGAGTAAAACAGGCTTCTAAGTCTGTGATTAAATTTCAAATAAAAATGTTTAAAAGAAAATCACAAGAGAAACAATGAATGAATGGAAATCCAAAGTCTCTATAAATTTTCACTGAAATTAATAATAAATTTAAAAAAAGAAAATCATAGTAGCATCAGCTGTTAATCTATAAAACAGAAGGTACAACTTCTGCCTCAATCTCTAATTCTGTAAATACTTTTTGTCCTTATTTTGCTCTTAGGCAAACAAATGTCTTAAAAGCATAAAAATTTGGCTATATAATTTTATCACTTTTTTAATTAAAATATTAAAATCAGTTTTTTATTTAAGACTTGTTTTACTCATAAGCAGCAAAACAGAAAAGATGAGTTAAATTGAAACTTTATGCTAGAATTGATAGACAATCAAGAATGTGAAAAAACAACTCACAGAAAAGGAGGTGATACTTGCAAATGGTATGTTTAGTAAGAAACTTGTATCTAAACTATATTTTAAAATCTTAGAATTCAACAATAAAAAGACAAAGAAACAGTTTAAAAAAATGGACAAAATGTTGGGACAGTTCTTCAAAAAAGATGTATGCATGTTCAATGGAGACTAAGGTGTGCCTGAGTCAGGCCACGGTCTTCGCAATTACATGCTATGAATCAGAGAGCTGGACAGTGACTAGGGATGATAGAAAGAGAACTGATGCCTTGGAGCTATGGTGCTGAAGAAGAGTACTGAATATACCATGGACTGCTAGAACAAACAGGTTCATCCTAGGGGTGAAACCAGGTTGCTCCTTGGAGGCAAGGATTCTGAAACTTCGTCTGACATATTTTAGGCAGGTTGGAAGGAGGGACCAGTCCTTGGAGAGGGACATCATGCTTGTGAGGGTGGAAGGACAGGACGAGAGAGAGAGAAAGACCCTCATGAAATGGACTCACTCAGTGATTGGGGTAATGAGGGTAGGCGTGTCAGAGAAGATCAAGTTGGCTCAGGATAGAGCAAAGTTCAGAGCTGTTGTACATAGGGTCGCTATGAGTCATAAGAGAGTTGATGGAAGATAACAACATGGTCAGTAAGTACATAAAAACGACATTTAATAATATTAATCAGTATTGGATTTAGGTGCTATCAAGTTGACTAAGACTCACAGTGGCCACATGTTGGGAACATCATGGTAGAAACTTGCTCCACCCTGTGTGCCATTAATCACTGCTGTTGTCTTAGGTGCCCAGAGTATGACTCATAGTGACTCCATGAACAAAAGATCTGACCCCTGTCCTATCTTCACACTTCCTGGCACACAGGAGCCCACTTTGGCAGTCACCATAAATACACCTAGTTGAGGGTCTTCCTCTTCTTTGCTGACTCTCCACACCTCCCAGCATCATGTCCCTCTTCAAGGAATAGCCTCTCCTAGCTCCAAGTATGTAAAGGGCTCTTGCTTCCAAAGAGCACTCCTGACAGCATCCTGTTCTTTTGGCTGTCCATGGGATGTTCGGTACTCTTCTCCAACATCATAGCTCAAAGGCATCAAGTCTTCTGGAACTTTCATTCACTGTGCAGCTCACAGATGCATAGCAAGTGATCAGAAAGACCATGGCCTTAATCAGATGCACCTTAGTCCTCAAACTGACATCATTACTCCTCAATAATTTGGAGATGTCCCTAACTGCATATTTTTCCCAGTGCACTGCATCTCCTTATATGACTGCTGGTACCAAGGGTGTTAATTGTGGATCCAAACAAGATGAAACTCTTGACAGTTTCAATCTCTTCTCATGATGTTGTCTATTGGTCCAGTGATAAGAATTCACCTTCTTGATGTTAAGATGCAATCCATACTGAAGGCTGCATTCCTTGATCTTCTGCATTCTCAAAACCTCTGACACACTTGAGACCACTGCTGCAGTCACCTGCCAGAGGGTCTTCTCTCCTTAGGTCTCCTGCCACCTTTCGAAGCATGATGTCCCTCTCCTAGCAATATGACCAAAGCATGTGAGATGAAGTTTCACCATCCTTGCTTCTATGGAACACTCTGGTTAAACTTTCTACAAGAAATATCTGTTCCTTTGGCACCCCATGGGATAGTCAATCCTGTTCTCTAGCATCACATTTCAAAGGCATCAATCCTTCTTCTGTCATGCTTATTCATTGTCCAGCTCTCAGATGCATAACAAGTGACTGACTAGACCATGGTCTGAATCAGGTGCACCTTAGTCCTCAAACTGTCATCACCACTCCTAAATACTTTGGAGAGGTCCTTATCTACATTCTAATGACTGCATAGTGCTTGGGAAGGGAAAAAATAAGGAAAGGAAATGAAGATTGATTGCTAATAGATACCGTTTCTTTAGGAGAAATGAAAAAAATGTTCACAAACCAGTGAATATGCTTAACAAACACTTTTTGGCACATCTAAATGGATAAACTGAATGTTATCTTACACAGAGGTTTAAAAAAATTGAGATGATCACAGAACCAAATGAAGGAAAGAGACAGGATGAGAAGAAAAAGAAAAGAACAAAGGGGCAAAAAAGAAAATGTAAAATGAACAGAAGGAAAAACAGAAGGGAATCATTTGATAGGGATCTTGGTGGCACAACAGTTTAAGCACTAGGCTTCTAACCAGAAGACTGGTCATTTGAGAAAGATTCTGATGAAAATTACAGCCCAGAAAATCCCAATGGAGCAGCTTCACTTTCACATGAATTCCTAAGAACTGAAGCCAAGTCAGTGGCACTGAACAAACTCCCACAAAACTTGATGGAAAATGGAGGTGTTACCAAAAGCACCCAGAACAGAGAGGGGACACTAAGCCAGGAAATAGAATTTGTTAAACACAATGTAAAAAATGAGTACTTTACATACAAGAGATTAAGGGTTAGCCTGAGTTTAGTCCTTGGCAATCCAACATACCTACATCCCTGATAAAATTCTGAGGTCTATGTCCAGTGTCTACAAAATGTTGACAATAATCATTATGGGGATTTAAGCTCTGTGTGCCCTAAGGAAAAAGGAAAAATTAAATTATAGCATACAATCTTGTGGCAGATACCATATCTCTTTATTTACATTACAAATTAATTTAAAAAATTAGTATCATTTGAAGTTAAAACAAAAATATCAGTGTTATTCTTTAGGAGCTACAGATATAAATAACACCATTACGTCATTCTAATATGCCAAATATCAAATTAATAATTTCATTAATAACCTTAAGCAATCTTTATTTTATACTAATGATCCTATAAAAACTGAAAACAAGCTTAAAAATTAGTTTTTCAAAATTTTTCAGGTATAAAGATTAAATGTGAAGTCCTACAACATAAATTATCTATTTACCTTAAGAAAAGTACTAGAATCTTTGTAAATTTCTTCTTCATATGGCAAATTTTCCTCCTCCTGTTGCATTTCTAGTTCATCCTTAGGGGGAAAAAAAATAAAGATAATTTTATTTATTGAAATTACTTCTCTAGTTTTATATCTCAATCACTTAAGACCCAAATATTATTCTCTTTCTTTAGGATATAATAAAGTTTTCAAGTTATCCTTAAAGTCAAACAATACAATTTCTGCTTTCTTGTATCATTTATTACATGTGATTGGCTGATTGATTGTATATAAAGTCAAACATGCCTCTTCAGCATTTTCAGTAACCTGGAATGACCAGAGTTTGCTGAATTATAAAAAATTATCTCATTTATGATACTATCAATACCAGAATGTCACTCTAAGTAGTCATGCCACCATCAGGCAATTTTCTTTCTGTTACATGAAAATACGTTTTCAATTTTTTTTTTCTTTAATTTCCCAACAATAAAATGGTTCCATTCTCTACTTGCCTTATAATCTTCAATTTTATCTTCATCTGCCTCTCCTTCATCTAGGTATTTACGCTTTGCATTTGGAGCAGAGGTATCATAGGATGCTCTAAAAATTAAGACTAAAATAAGTATCACAAACAGTGTATCTTGTATAAAAACTGCAAGTGTATCTATGAACAGATTACAAAAATAGCATACTATAAAAACAGAACAAGAAAAATTTTTTATTGCTGTTTCTACTAGGGGCCAAATTTTTCTTTTATTAAAATAGAGCGTCTGTGTGGGGTGGGGGAGGGGACTGTGTACCAATGAAGGAGTTTGTCTTTTGCTTGTCAAGGAGAGGCACGAACTCAGGGTGGGCATGGGGTGGGTGGGGAGAAAAGTGCAACAATGAATGAATGGAACTCCAAAATCTCTGTAGATGTTCCTTGAAATTAATAATAATAATAAT